ACGCACAACAAAAAGAACATGTAAAAGATGCTGTGATGAAGAACAATGTCGAAAGGAAAAAAGTAAAATGAAAATAAAAAGAAACCTTACGCAACAGCAAAAGGGCGGCGACTGCAGCACTACCTGGAAAAAGACATGCAAAAAGCGACTGGTTGCTTCAAAACAGCATCAAATAGTGTTCCACACAATAAAAGAAACACATAAAAGATGCGGTTATGAAGAACAAGTCGAAGGGAAAAAGGTAAAATTAAAAAATTAAAAGCAAACCTCACGATACTGGCACGTCCATGGAAAATGCGTTGTTCGTAGAATGCAAGCTTCATAGCAGTGTCAAAAAGTGTTCTTGACAATGAAAAGAACACGTTAATGATACTGGTATGAAAACTGCATGCAACGCAAAAATTAAAAATGAAAACGAGGGGTAGGAATTCATCGAATATGCGAAATATCGAAATTTGCAAAAAAATCGTGCAAATCTCATGCAAAACAGCTTACTTTTTCACTAAAACGAACTTACCTGCTCTAAAGCGAAGTAGAATAGTGCTAGAGAATAGAAAATACAGCAGAAAATCGGAATACTAGTAGAAATCAAGAAATTCAATCAGCTGATCACTGCGACAACTATCAAGTTTGTGTAGTCCGCAATCACGTCTTGGCCCCACCCACCCTATCTCCGGATATGGACTGTACCATAGCTTTCAGCACTCACACGTATAACGTGTTGAGCCGGTTAGCCGATATCGGCAATGACCGCGAGGCTGAAAGCTTTAGCAATGGATTTTGACTTGTTTTTGTTTGTTAACTGCTGTTTTTGGCCGCAGTTCGCCTTGCGAATGTTTCACATGGCGAACTTCGGCCAAAAACAGCAGTTCGCCTTGTGAAACACCACTAAGTTTTTAGTAAATTAACTTTCGAAGAATTTTTACGTGGTTGGAGAGAGAATAATTTGAATTTTCCAAATCAAATCACTTCGGCGCAGAAGCTCGAATATGAAGGAAGTTATAGCCTTAGAAAGAGGGGTGTAAAAATTGTGTTGCAATTGAAGAACGTGAAGGATTTCAGTATTTCAATTGGAGCGATAATTTTTTCTGACTTCTCATAAGTTTTTATCAGGTAATATTGTCAATATTCCGGTCACTGGTTCAGTTTATTTCATCTCCTAGTTTGGTAACCCTTTGGAGTACACGGATATCTTTGAATGCATCTCATTTTTTCGTGTTTGGAAGCAGCGATGAATATCTGTCGTGGATTTTGCTAAAGTTTCATCTTTGATGACTTACGTAGAAATAATATTGATGGTAAACACTGTCTCTACACAAGTGTCACATACAAGGGGGGTCGTAAAAAATTTCCAAAGAGTAACAACGATAGGGTTGACCCTGGTGGATGTCTGGCGCGACTTGCAGTGTTGGCGCCCCACTGCCCTTCACTGCCATGATTTCCACTCCCCATCCAAGTACGCTGCCCCTTCTTGGCATTATAACAAGTAGTAATGAGTGCTGCACTGCACTGCTTTTTTGCTTTCTTTACTTGTTATCAGACATTTGTGCTAATTCAAAGCTGACATTTGGGACATTGATTACCAATAATAAACGATAATAATAATCGACTTTGGCGGTCTCGTATATTATTTTGAGCTCACCTTTGGAGTGTACGATAAAAAGGCTGCTAATTTTCACACAATTTGGCAGCAGAAATGTATATGTTGTTGAATTTCTGTGAATGCCCATCTTTATCGACGAAATAGAAACGTGACGCGAACTATTCAAATAAGATGCCTACATTCAAGAAAATATTTGAAGAATTGAATCCATGAAATGGACGAGAAGTCACGCCATTTACCGTTTTGGTCCAGACTCGATTTAAAGTACGAGGTTGTCTAAATCATCAGAGTTTGCTTCGCATAGACAGAAGTGAAACACATACAATATCGCTCCTAATTTTCGGAAGTTCGATGTGCAGGGATTTTCAGCGTCGCAAAGTGTCTCTTCTTCATAACTCCCTCGAAAGTGGGGAAAATGAATGGATCTTTCACAGCAATGGACTCGTCTCTCCGTGGCGAGTCTAACTAATTGCGAAACTGCGAATTTGGTTGGGTAACTAACAAACTATTCCATGAAAACTATCACGGATCTGATTAACAGTCTCGCCTCTCCTCATTTCCATTATCTCTCCACATCGGGGACCAGCTCTTAGCTACCGCCTTGATGATTTCATAACGCCTTCCCTTCGAGTCCTTCGCCACTCAAAGGTTGTGAACGTCAATATGCTCGCCTCTTCAATGAAAATTTCCCACGCACGCTCGTTGAACAAAGGTCAACCGTCCCTTCGCACTATACGCACGAGGGCTCCAATTTTAGTCACGCCGAGGGAGGGGTCGCAATTCGAGGACCCGCAGCCGAAATCGCGGCGGTAGCGTCATTGGTCGGTGGATGAAGGGCTGGGAGGAACGCTCACAAAGAACATGAAGTTGTCATAAACTCAAAATAATTATTCTTTTCAGGCTCGACCGTTTCGTCCTGAAGTGTTTTTCCGCGTGAATTACTAAATATATAACGTGAAATTTTTTTCTGTCTTCATCTAGGGAGAGCTCGCTTTGTCGCAACAGAACGTGGCAAGAGTGCCGAAAATTGAGCAAGCCTTGGTCAGCAAAAATAAACTACTTCCAAATACCTTTGCAACTTTGAACCACAGGCGCGGCGGATTCCAAAATAACCCTTCCTTTTACCGATCGCATTAGATTCGACTTGCTACACACATAGAAAAGGTTTTGAACAAATTCCGATGTATTCGGACCAAATAAAGAACAACTGAATGCAGTGCTATGGGCGAATTCACTTCTCGAGGCTGAAAATAAAGTTCTTCGGGAACCTGATTTTCTGAGGACGATTCTTCCAGACAACGGTAAAACATATAAGAAAGCAGAAATCTCGTAGTCTTCAAAAATGTCTTCGCCCCTCCCCAACAAGCTCTTTGAAGGAAGTTATTATTGCTGAAAGCTCAAAAACTCGCATGTGCTGCTCAAAAACCTATGGGAAAAAATGTTCGAACGTGTGATTTTCTCGGAAAATGAACTTTGAAAAACGGTTGGTGCTTGTTAGAAAGAGCAAATCCTGTACTTTTTCCCATGAAAAAGTGCATCACAGAAATGAAAATGAAGTGAGTTATGGCCGCTGAAAGCCCAAAAACTCGCTTTTGCACGAAAAATGTTCGAACGGGACAATTTTTTGAAAAGGGGACAATCACTAAACTTTTATATTGTTAGAGAAATATTTGAAGTTTCTAAAACTTTTTACAATTTCCAAAATGTCGCATACGAAAGATTTTATGGGCCTTCAAAGTTGGAGGTGCGCCTTCTTAGAATTTTGGGTTTTCCACTTCTAACAGAAGTACTTTCCGGAGAGTTAGGCAATCCTTGTAGTTTTCTGAAAGCGGACCTCATGCACAGTCCAAATCTATTCAAGCGATCAGAAAAAGTATGATTTCAAAGAAGTTATGTCCTCTTCAACTTTTTTTTGCTTGCCGCTCTAAGTGCTCTCACCGCCTAGGTGATACCTTCTGCGCTCAAATTCTAACGTCACTTCGCGCCCTAGAGAACTGTACGTTTACTTGCATATTCTATATAGTTTTGCTTTAATCTCGTATTTTATCGTTAGCGAGATTCTCTTCTACACGCTGCTTTGATCATGAATTGGAAAAGGGTCCGAGTGGCAATACCACTGAGACTGGCAGATCCACAATTTGCTTTGGTGATCATAATTGCTATGAAGAGCTTCGTGATGTTTCTGAAATTGCTGTCATCAGAGCATGGATTCGGAAGAAGGAAGCATACAAGCGCTGGCAGAAGACCGGAGCCCCGAGACCTCGCTGCCTACAAGAGTTGCAAGAGGCTCGCTAAGGCTGCCGTCGCCAAGGCAAAGAACACGGAAATGGACGCCTTGTACGAGAAGTTGGAAAGCAGAAACGCAGAGAAGTTCGTCTTCAGACTGGCTAAGGCCCGGCATCGGCTACTCAAGACATCAGGGTGGTGAAGAGTGTAAAAAGCAGCAACGGCGCCATCCTCAGAAAGCCAGCCGAAGTTAAGAGGAGGTGGGAGGAGTACTACAGAACGAGGAGTTCCCCCACAAGGACACTCACAAGCAGAGGCAACGTCTGGCCATCGCACTGTGGACAGAGGATGAGGTTAGTCGAGAAGTAGGAAGATGAAGGTTGGGAAGGCGGTTGGTCCAGATGGGGTGCCAATCGAGGCATGGAAGGCGCTCGGTGAGTACGGGATAAGATGGCTCACACGATTCCTGAACAAGGTAACTCAAGCAGAAGGGTGACGCGATGGACTGCTCCAACTACCGCGGTATCAAGTTGACTGCGCATACCATGAAGTTGTACGAGCGCCTGGTCGACTCGAAACTGCGGGAGCTGGTCCCGATCTCCCAGGAACAGTTCGGGTTCATGCCCGAAAGGTCTACAACGGATGCCATCTTCATCGCAAGGCAAGTGATGGAGAAGTATCGAGAAAAGCGCCGACCCTGCTACCTAGCCTTCCTCGACCTGGAGAAGGCGGCTACCGCGAGCAGTACTATGGAGAGCGCTCAGGGAACGGAACGTGCCAGAACACCTGATCTCGCTGGTGAAGGACATGTACGAGGGGCTAAGGCAGCCATACGCACCCCACACGGCCTAACAAAAGAGGTAAACATCACGGTTGGGGTGCATCAAGGGCTCTGAGTCCTCCTAGATGTCCTGGTGAAGGGGCTCATGGAAGGACCACTAAAGACCATCCTCTACGCTGACGACATCGCCTGATAGCGGATAGTAGAGAGGAACTTCAAGCCAAGGTGCAGAAATGGCAGAAAGTCCTGGCAGAAGGTGGGCTACGGCTGAATGTCAAGAAGACCAAGTTCCTGAGCTCTGAAGAGGGTGCAGAGCCGATCGTGGACGGCCATGGTGAGACCATCGAAAGAGTGGAGGACTTCCGATACCTTGGGAGCGATCTGGCAGCCGACGGCAGTGTGGATCAGGCAGTAAAGGCAGGATCAACGCGGCATGGATGAAATGGAGGGAGTCCACTGGAATCCTCTGCGATCGAAGGTGCTCCAGAACGCTCAAAGGAAGGTGTACCGGACAGTGGTAAGGCCTGCGATGCTATACGGCAGCGAGTGCTGGCCCCTGAACAAGAATCACGAAAGGCAGCTTCACTCCGCTGAGATGAGGATGCTGAGATGGGCCTGCGGCTGGACGCGACTGGACAGGGTCAGAACGAGGATGTCAGAGCGGTCATGCAGACTGCCCCTGTCCAGCTGAAGGTGAGGGAACAGCGTCTGCGATGGTATGGGCATGTGCTAAGGAGGCCACAGGACCACCCGATAAGGAAAGCGATGGACTTCGAAGTGCAAGGCAAGCGACCGCGAGGAGCCCCAAAGAAGAGGTGGAAGGACGTGATCAAGAAGGACCTAAGTGAAATCACGGCCACAGCAGAAGATGCCCTAGACAGAGCGAAGTGGCGACGACTGACAAAGACAGCGGACCTAAGAAGAGGAAGAAGAGCATGGAGGCGGATCTGCCATTGCAAAATGATAATCACGGTGATGAAGGAATCACTAGTAGCTTCGACCACACCAGTAAAGGGTCATCTGCTGAAGACTCGCTACTCACCATTAGTTTACTCAAATTTCATGCCTCAAGATGTGCAGCTTTTGCAATACTGCGATTGTGAACTTCGGAAACATACTTCTTTGATCCACTTTTGTTGGAAAAGCCAGAGCATATTAGTAGGCTTTTGACATCCGCGCCCCACATAGACTACTGCGGACTGCAGGAAATTTGCTGCTCCAACCGTCATACTCGAAAAGCCCACGCCCGCGACCGGACATTTCTGTTGGCCGCTACCCGCTAAGTGCTGGTCCCCTAATGGAAAGATAATGGAAACGAGCAGAGGCAAGACTGTCAAACCAGGGATCAACGATAGATTTTATGGAATAACTTGTTTACTATTCAACCCAGTTTCGCACATCACCAAGCGTCTCTAACTTGATACGTAGACACGCCATGGAGGAACGAGTCCATAAATATGAGAATCCACTCATTTTAGCCCCTTTGCGGTGCTGAAAATCAGTCCCACAGCGTCGAATTTTCAAAAATTAGAAGCGGTATGGTACCTTAGAGAAAGCCTATTCATTCACACTATTTCAAAGATTTTATTTAAGAAATATGGACTCTAGTAAAGAAGACCGTGAAACTCTCACCCACTGACCTCATTCTTGATAAGGGCGATAGTAACAAAAAAGCCTTTTCGATTTCCGTCAGGATACACTAACGTTACTGCAGCGCCGTTGTGAGCATCCTGCAATGAAACACCAGTAATTGATCGGTACTCAATTCAGAAAAGTTTGATTAGGTTGTCGGAAAAGTCTTTCACCAAATGTTTGTTTTTGCAGTCTCACCTTTCTTTTTTAGCACAAAAATTGACAATTATGTATGTGGCTTCACCGTTATGGGGCAAATACTGTTTTTCAGCATGTAGCAGTGGATGCCGTTCGATTGGAAATCCTCAGCTTCCGAGTCATAAAACTTTCAAGCAGGTTGGTTCATCAACCTCCCCCCCCCTCCCAATACTTTACCTGCATAGACAGCAACAGAGGCAAATGGTAGCCTGTTGGGATCAGCTGTGACTAGAAGCGGATTTTGCGATAAAAAAAGCAGCCCACTGTGCATTGAGTTAGAGACAGCCGCTAAAGAAGAAAAAATCAAGAAAAACGTTTTAGAACCATAGAAATGGGACCCCCTCTTGCTCCGTTGATTTCCTCCACTCTCATCGGTGCTGCCTTTTTAACTCTGACGCCCTCTCTGGCAAGCGGCTAGAGGCTAAGAGAGCGGAGGGGGGTAGTGGCCTGCCCGCCGATAGTGCGCCAATAACTGCCGACAAGACCATGCTATTCCACCAAGCTGAGCCATGGTGGGCTTTGGTGAGGCAGGTAGCAGTCTTGCTTCCGAAGCAATTATTTATTTATTTATTTATTTATACGTCCAAATGAGACGCGCCAGTGAATCCAGTATGCGAAATCAATGCAATTATTAAGAGAAAAAAGCAATGAAAGGCTGATCTAAGGAACCAGCAGTACCCATATGACTGAGAAGGTAAAGGGTTCGGTTCTCTACGGTGCTTACTGTTTTGCTTTTTTTCGGCATGTCTAAAAGCCTTTCTTAACACACTAATCAACGGTCACGTGCAGCTACATCTATGAAGAGGTTGCGAGCAGATCTTCTTGAGTTTGAGCACCATTTGGCTGTGAGTCCCATGGAGCCCATAGTGCAGGTGCTAGGCTTCGTAGTGATGGGGTTACCACTCCCCAAACTCCAATTCTAAGTTGCCTCGTCATGAACGACGGGGAGGCGAGGTTGTATTTTGAGATATTGCCTAAATATTAGGATGATGCAGCCGGGCAACCCGACACATTTTTTATTCTTTCTAAAGTTTGTTCGGAGGCTTCATTCTATTCCATCTCAAAAGAAGCTTGTAGGCTTTTGTTAGACCTCTTCCATCTCGCGGACGAGTGCTGTCATGATAAAGTGGACCTTTACATGTTTTCGAAGCAAGCCTGCTGGCAAGCCTCTTCATATGTATGTGTTATTGTTCATCAATAGCGGTGAAGCAGCTTACCGTGAACATAGCAGCTTACCGTGAACAAAACCTTCAAAGCCTCCTTTGAAAGTTGCCTCCCGAGTTGTCGTTTCGGATATGGCGCCGAATTTATTTACTCGTGCTTCGGAGCTATTGGTGCTTTGGGGGTGATTCAAGTGAAGAACCTGCTCCCTGATGTCACTAACAGGGTTGTGGGATCAAAGGCGGGACAGGAGGGAAACCGAAATGTTTAGACAAAACTTCTTCGTCTTCAGAACCTGGAAGCTCGCTCAGATAAGTAAATTCGCCTTTCGCCACAAGCGAGGAGGTATTGAGGAAAAGGTGACTGTACTCAGATAATAGTGGTGAAGCTCTGCCATTTTCCGACCTGCTACTCTTTCCAAACGGCTTCAGAAGACACCTGTCATTCAGTGTAGCGGACCAACCAGATTTGTGGTTCTGCACATCGACCGCCAAATAAATGCCACGTCATGAAAGGCAACGTGGAAGTTCATCGCAACATATAGTTTCTTCCACTGAACGCTTTCCCAGGAGCAGACGAATATGTGTGCGTTCACTGAACGACATTTCCAACCATTGCAGAGGTTAGGACAGAAATGCTCTGACGATGAGAGGAGTATTGGTCATACACTTTTTATAGCGGATAATCCACAAAGATCGCCCAAGGTTCTGCATCACAAATGGAAATAGCTTTCCCGAAAACCTGACAATCTCGGTGAACACCACTTTCATAACCCACCTTTGGTACTTTGAGATTAGCAGGAATCATGTTGCCATGTCCGTAAAGGAGCCATTCGTCTGGACTCAAGATGGCAGGTCCAATGAATTCACATTTTTCTGTTATAGATGGAACGAAGAAGTGAAACAGCATTCCAATCGTCAGCGTTCTTATTAAAGAGGCTTTCCGTGCAAAATGAAGAGCGGATTCCATTTGTGAAGGATCGGAAACGACTACCATTCAATTGTCGGTCGACCTTCAAATACGCCTCAGCTCAGGAGCTACAGCGATTGTGTGCTTAGCTGTTCCTCGTAGTGAGCCGAATTCACTTATACCACCGCCACGTACTTCGCACTGCCACGCAGCACACTACCCATATTGTACGTGAGCTCCAACCTGCTATTGAATTTTACTGCAAACGAGGTCAGTGACCAGTTACCGATGATCATTGGAAAGAGGTTCAAGGAGGTGATACTGCCATGCAACCACATCCGTCCTGATCGACCGGCCATTGCCAAATCACATGACAAGAGCAGCTGGTCTTACGCATCTTGGTGACAATGCCAGCGTCCCCGATCTTCGTCCGTTGACAAATTCGAGACTCCGAATCCCTTCTTCCCTTCGAAAAGTCAGATCACCTCCTTGTCTGCTTGTAATACAGTGCTGCATGCCAACACTGATGCCTCGTATTTTGCTTGAATAGGCTGTACTACATAACCTCAGTAACCCCTTGTCATGCTAATCGAAAATACGGCTTTTAGAAAGCAAGCATTGCAACATGTTCGCACGAGTTCTCCGAGGAACCCCATCCAACTAGTTAAGATTTCATTTTCCTCTTGTACAATCTCCCTGTGGCTAGAAGGGTACGGCTCATGAAGCACTGGTAAGACTGGAAGTCTACTGAAATTTGAAGGGTACTGGCTCACGGGTTGTCTCCAAAAGTCTCAAAGATGCGTTCAACATCTGCGGTCATTAGAGGCCCGGCACGTGGTTGGCCTTCCAAGCCGTAGTCCCAATGGGGAATGTCTCTATTTTCAAAAGATCCTATCTTCACCGTGTCTTGTCCTTCAGCTTCAAAAATATTCCTATAGGCTTTCCTCGCTGAATGCCCCAGCCGGAGCTCGAAAAACAGTGAGTGACGAACATAACTTGAAATAAATAGCACTATTTCTCCATAGGATGAGTGCTGACCCAGCGAGTTTTGTGACATGTAAGGATTCTGAGGTAGGCACATAATGCTTTACTGAGACACACACATTCCTCAGGATGGATAGCGCAGTTTGAAAAAAATTGCAATTACTTATGACTCTGCCCAATATTGGGTTGGTGCATAATATCGTAGCGTTTTTTTTTTGAGCGTATAAATTCAATCAGTACAAGAGAAACCCTAAAAATCGCCTATACCTTTTGAAAGTGCTTTTTTCGCTCTACAAAAATTACTTCGTCATTTCCCTCAAAATTATATTTGTACTCATACATAATGCTTAGAAGTTGGAAAATCCAGACGGCAGAAATCGGCATTTCGACAGCTGTTATTTTTCAGTTCACATAAAGAAAAAAATACCGTCAAAACAAAAGTTCTTCAGAATCCATTGTTCTTATCGAACCTCTCTCTAACCAACCCTACATATTTCACTCAAATTAAGACCGTATTCATGTCGTACAAATTGCGAAATAATGAGGACTTCGAGAGCGAGCCCAACATCTTTTTTTCAATTCCAAATCCAGTGACTTTCTGCAAAATAGGATAAAAGTCGTAAATAATGACAAAGTGGACATCCCTGATTAGTTTTATGTTTTTAATTTCTTCACAAACGTTTGCGTGCAAAAATGAAAAATGCAAGCGCTACGATATTATGCACCAACCCAATATTTACTTTTTGGCACGATACACACGCACGACTGTACATACTGTGCACTAATGTGATTTATAGTGTGCATTCAATGTAGTTGTTTCACGGGCATCCTGAACACACAGTCACAGTGACTACTGAGCAGGGTGAAAATCGTGTCGAGGAAATAACCGCCTCTTTACGACCCCCCTCCAAAACATGGACTCTGATACGACCCCTTTTTGTCCTCTGCACATCCGGTTTTATAACAAAAATGCTAGTTTCAGATGGGAGAGGGACGCAGCGCCGCTGCCACGCAAATGCGGCTTGATCCAAATGCTAGATTCAATTCTGCTCAGATTAGGTTCTCCTTCTTTCCTTTAAAGACATTTACCTTTGCCACATTGGCCGGAAAGTAGAACATTGAAGGAGGTACTGCCCCTACACAGTTGAACAGTCTCGCGCTCCAGTATAGCGGCGCTAACTACCCGCGATCGCGTCGCGCGCTGTGCCTAGAGCGCGCTAGTTGGAAAAATCGTCAAATGTACCCCCTATTTGAAGGACTATAACTTTCTCATTGATAACCATTTCAAAAAAGGAAGGCAGCTTTCTGGAAGAGCGTGATTTCTAGTTTCTAAGCCGTGCTGAAAAATTTTTCGAGCTAGTCTTATCTCGAGAATTAAAGACGTCGAGTAATTGTCGAGGAGAACGAATTTTACTTGCGAGTTTTCGCTCTTTGGAAGACCATAACTTCTTCATTGGCAATATTTTGGAAATCGGAAGAAAGCGTTGTAAAGTAGAAGATTGGAGCTTTCCGATAAGCATCAAAATTGTTTCAAACGCTTTCTAGTTCGCGAGAAATCTGCGTCGAGGAAATGTCAAGGAAATTTTCGAAGCCACTCGAAAACTCTATTACTCCCTCGCCGTAGTAGGGAACTTCTTTGAACACCTTCAAAATGCTTCTGTACACGTCAGTTCGATGGAGTAAATTGAAAATGATGCACTTGGCGCAGATCCATTCCGTTCTTGTATGCGCCATGCAGTGACCCCACTCGGAGTCATTTGAAAGGTGTCTTGTCAAAACGACAACTTACTCGTGCAAACAGAAGGTGTTCTTAGTCTCGACTAATCAGAATCATAGTATAGCCTGGTCATTCCTTTATTTACGTTGCTTCCTTTCCGATTCTGCGAGATACATTTGTGGCTGCAGTATTCGATGATGCCAAAAGGATCGAATGTTCCCGTATTGAATTCTTACTCATATTCGGCTCCCCCACTGCAGTTCTCGAAGCGTGTACACTAATTTGAAGTAGATAGTCGCTGTCCATTCCTCACGATACATTTGGAGGACGCGTTACCTTACGAATATATCGTCAGACTGATCATTACGAATCAAACCAACACCACTTTCCATTTAAATTTTATTCCAGTCAGTTGTAAGATATCATTCGCATTACGCTAACTTAAACCCGTGCAAGATTGAGGATGACAGCGAATGAGTGGAGAGCAGCACCATTATTCGGCGATGAATGGTCCTACGACCCCCCTTCGCATCTCAGTGGAGCAAATACGACCCCTGGTCGAGGATTTCCTCGACCGTTATTCACCCTGCTACTGAGTACTCAAAGCCTTTTTCGATTTTTTCTTCCTATTCACATTTCAACACAGCAAATCACTACCATTAGGGTGTTGAAGATGATATCATTTATTGTGGTGCCGTTACGAAACATTAAACATACAGGAGCATACATGAAGTAGTTCCTCATTAATTTGCTCTCTCTCTGGAAAAGCAGTGGCTTTTTGCAATAGCAGTGCAGAGGGCGCAAGCAAATAAAGACGAATGGTTCGCATTAGAACAGTGTCATGCAAAAGCTGCTGCATCTTCAAAATTTGGAGAGTTTGAAAATTTAGTTTTACAGTACACGTTGGGCCAAAATCATGATAAGCGCAAGTAGGCGCGGTCAAATCTTGGTCCCGAACCTCTTCACTTTCTCCTTCCTTTTTGGATGTAGGGTGATATGGGACAATGTCTACTTTCTACTGAGTCCAAATATCACACAGTTTTCAAAATTATAGAACAACCACATTACGGTATGGCAAATCACTGAAGTGATAATAGGCTCAGGCACGCTACACCTAGAGACAGTTGAACGTAATAAGAAAGATCTTGGTAACGGTTGAACGCTTCACTAAGTTAGGAAGCGTCTGGGATGGGAAGGAAGGATTCGAGAAAATTCGGGGAGACCACTAGATGCTGTTAAGATCCAATATGTGATGGACAAAACGCAACTTGAGTGAATTATCCTGAATCTTTCAGTAGGATAAGGCAGCTAGTCATGAAGCAAGAATTGTGCAAAGAGGATTTTTTGTGTTCTTAGTCTTCTAACAACTGTTACTTAGTCCTCTCACTCCTGCCAAACCTGGCCTATTTTCTGCATGACAAACCTGGAAGTAACAGTAAACGGGAACCTCAAAAAGAAAATCTGATTGCCTAAGAGGGCACACCAAAAACATGGAATCATTTTGACGTGTCCCACCTGCGTGCCACTGTGCAAGGCTTCCCTCTGAATGTGGAGACCTGTGTCGATGCAGTAGTTAACAGATTCAAACTAACCTGGGTTCGCTTTGTCATACTTGTGCTCCCGCTTTTTTAAGAAGATTAGTTTCATAAAGCTAATATTCGTTTTTAGTCACGTAATGTCTTGGCTGCCATGGCTCAGCCTAGCTAGAGGTAATCTACGGAAAAGTCCTGCATTCCTTCCGAATATGACTATCAGTTGTGATTGATAAAGAAAACGCATGAAGTTGCATGCCGAAGATATTCAGTTTCTAAAAAAAGAAACAAACTTACGAACCCAGCATTTGAATTTGCAGAATAAAGACAAAAGGATCTGATCGAGAAACGAAGTATGGCATACAGCAGAAAAGCGAAATGTTTGCGTCATAGGTGGAGAAGGCCGACGACCACATTATCAACACTGCAGCACACGTCCACTCAATCCTCCAACGTCCTTCAGTTTCCGTGGTGCGGATCAGCTTGGGCTGCCCAACACTGCCCATGCTTAGCTCTGCTCATGCTAAGCGTTCTTAGTAATTCTGTCGTCACTCTAGGTCTAGTCTACATCATGATACGAGGCATCTTATGTTCTGACAAAGCCTCGTTTCATCGCCGAAATGTCTCTGATCCTGAGAACATGTATTTGTTCATTGCACAGTTAACATCCATGTTAGGGAAACATCCATGCTAGGGAATGAAAACAACGAAAAACGTAAAAACCCAGAAGTAACAAGAGGAGCAGTTCCTAGGAACTTCTATAATTACAAAGAAGGGTTACAGCTAAAGTGAAAGAAAAAGATGAAAACAATGAACAAACGAATAGTGCTAGGATGTGATACTTTCCTAAGGCT